CCAGAGACTGCGGACACAGTACAGGAGATGGAGACTGCGGACACAGTACAGGGAATGACCAGAGACTGCGGACACAGTACAGGGGATGACCAGAGACTGCGGACACAGTACAGGAGATGACCAGAGACTGCGGACACAGTACAGGAGATGACCAGAGACTGCGGACACAGTACAGGGAATGACCAGAGACTGCGGACACAGTACAGGGAATGACCAGAGACTGCGGACACAACAGGGAATGACCAGAGACTGCGGACACAGTACAGGGAATGACCAGAGACTGCGGACACAGTACAGGGAATGACCAGAGACTGCGGACACAGTACAGGGAATGACCAGAGACTGCAGACAGTAAAGGAGATTACCAGAGGCTGCGGACCTTTGGGGAGGGAGGGGGAACGGGTACAGAATTTGACAGCTACCCGCTCCCACTTCCACGGAGTTGTCCTTCCTTTTTCTTCCCGCGGCGGCTTCTGTGACAGCCGGGTGCCCACTGCGCATGCGCAAGAAGCTCTGCGCTTTGTGAATGGCCTGAAGCCTTCTGGGACCTGTCGTGTCCCAGAAGACACCGGACCATTCACAAAGTGCAGTGCTTCTCGCGCATGCGCAGTGGGCACCCGGCTGTCACAGAAGCCGCCACGGAAGATTGCAGCGCTGAAGCGAGGAACAGGTAAGGTCCTGCAGGAGAGAAGAGCTGAGCGGCGGCCGGCCCGGTATTCTGACATGGTGGCCGTAGAAATACCAGACCAGCCACTTTACATTCGCTCCATAAGACGCACTGACATTTTCCCCCCTTTTTTTGGGGGGAAAAAAGTGCATCTCATGGAGCGAAAAATACGGTATGTGATGAAGTAAGGTTTGTGCAGTGATTTAGTTTGTTTCTAAGCAGTCTTGGTCGGTCGATTTTATTTTGGACAAAAACTGTACTGATTAAACAAAAATCGCTAAAGCTAATCCAGGGAATATTTGATTGCCTCTCGGGGGATCAGGAAGGAATTTTTTCCTTCGCAGGAGCAAATTGGATCATGCTTTGCTGGGTTTTTTGCCTTCCCTGCATCAACTGTGGGTATAGGATAATATATATATATATATATATATATTTTTTTTTTAATGGTTGAACTAGATGGACTTTTGTCTTTTTTTCAGCCAGACCAACTATGTAACTATGTTTGTTCTGGTATCGTACAAGAGCAATTGTCATCTCTCAATGATCATCGGACGACTGCTCCAAAAGCAATATTTTTTGTGTACGATTTTCCTATCGTTTGTACTAGGTTTTACCGTAAGTGGATGCTGGCATTTTCCTTTCCTGCAATTATACAGGAAAAGGTATGTACACCCTATGTGCACACAGGCTCACACAACGTGAGGGTGCTAAATGCCAATAATGGAGAATATCCGAAACTTCTCACCATTAAAAATCAGGTAAAAAGGCTAGCACACCAATATTCTGTTTTTCTTATAATTTACATTTTTTAGTTAAATACAAGACATCACATGAACAATCAGGATATCTAAATGCAAAGTTTTACAATAAAGGGATGCTGGGGAGCACAAGGATAAAAAGCAGTACAGATATACTGTATAAATAACACAAAAGAATAGAAGAAAAGGACATGCAGAGAGAATGCAGTGAAGCTGAAGGGGGAAAAAGGAGATGATGGCATTTCAGAGCTATACCCCTTTCTCAAATCCTGTCATTTAGGAGTTTAAGGTGTACCATGATTGCAGTTTTATGAATATTTTTGTATTTGTACTTTCTCACATACGTAGAGAAAATAGATAATAGAAAAAAAGATAAGATAACAAAACTAGCTTTTGCTGCAAAATTCACCCAAAGATCCAAACACTATTTTTTTTTTTCTGATGCTAGATTACCTCAGTCTAATGGCCAACATTATTCAACCCACTTCCTCTGTTCCCGGATCACCCTAAACCCACCCCAGCTTGTGACCCCCAACAACATCTTGTGCTGCTTTTTTATCTCACATTCCAGCCCTGCTGTGCAGAGATTGCAAAAAAGTGATACATTAGCAGGTCAAGTTTAAGTACTTACACTGCTTACATTTAATGATGACAAAGCTACATTAATTTGTGTCTTTTATGTCTACCTATGTTTCAGCTTTAAGAGCTTGTAAAAGTGAAGGCTAAAAAATCCAACAGAACAGATGTGTGTACAGCATTGGACCTCCTGCTTTCTAGCTCTCGTCACCATGCTTGCCTCCAGGACTTCTCCCGAGCTTCTGTCTTCCTCTGGAACTTCCTTCCCCAGTTTGTCCAACTATCTCCTACTCTGTCTAATTTTAGACAATCCATGAAAACCCCTCTCTTCAAAGCAGCCTATCCTGTCTCCACATAACAACTGCACATTTTTTTTTTTTGCTCCATAAAACGCACCTGACCATAAGAAGCACCTAGGTTTTAGAGGAGGAAACAAGAAAAAAAATTCTGAACCAATAGACTGCAGACATAGTACAGGAAATAACCAAAGGCTGCGGATGTACTACAGGAGATGACCAGAGACTGCACATATAGTATAGGAGATGACCAGAAACTGCACATATAGTACAGGAGATGACCAGAATTTGCGGACACAGCACAGGAGATGACCAGAGACTACGGACATAGTACAGGAGATGACCAGAGACTGCACATATAGTACAGGAGATGACCAGGGACTGCGGACATAGTACAGGAGATGACCAGAGACTGCAGACACAGTACAGGAGATGACCAGAGACTGCGGATATAGTACAGGAGAGATGACCAGAGACTGCGGACATAGTACAGGAGATGACCAGAGACTGCGAACACAGTACAGGAGATGACCAGAGACTGCGGATATAGTACAGGAGATAACCAGAGACTGCGGACACAGTACAGGAGATGACCAGAGACTGCGGACATATTACAGGAGATGACCAGAGACTGCGGACATAGTACAGGAGATGACCATAGACTGCGGACATACTACAGGAGATGACCAGAGACTGCGGACATACTACAGGAGATGACCAGAGACTGCAGACATACTACAGGAGATGACCAGAGACTGCGGACATACTACAGGAGATGACCAGAGACTGCGGACATAGTACAGGAAATAACCAAAGGCTGCGGATGTACTACAGGAGATGACCAGAGACTGCGGACACAGTACAGGAGATGACCAGAGACTGCACATATAGTACAGGAGATGACCAGAGACTGCGGACATAGTACAGGAGATGACCAGAGACTGCGGACATAGTACAGGAGATGACCAGAAACTGCGGACATACTACAGGAGATGACCAGAGACTGCGGACATACTACAGGAGATGACCAGAGACTGCGGACACAGTACAGGAGATGACTAGAGACTGCGGACACAGTACAGGAGATGACCAGAGACTGCGGATATAGTACAGGAGATGACCAGAGACTGCGGATATAGTACAGGAGATAACCAGAGACTGCGGACATACTACAGGAGATGACCAGAGACTGCACATATAGTATAGGAGATGACCAGAGACTGCGGACATACTACAGGAGATGACCAGAGACTGCAGACATACTACGTGGAGATGACCAGAGACTGCAGACATACTACAGGAGATGACCAGAGACTGCGGACATACTACAGGAGATGACCAGAGACTGCAGACATAGTACAGGAAATAACCAAAGGCTGCGGATTTACTACAGGAGATGACCAGAGACTGCACATATAGTATAGGAGATGACCAGAGACTGTGGACACAGTACAGGAGATGACCAGAAACTGCACATATAGTACAGGAGATGACCAGAAACTGCGGACACAGCACAGGAGATGACCAGAGACTACGGACATAGTACAGGAGATGACCAGAGACTGCACATATAGTACAGGAGATGACCAGGGACTGCGGACATAGTACAGGAGATGACTAGAGACTGCGGACACAGTACAGGAGATGACCAGAGACTGCGGATATAGTACAGGAGATGACCAGAGACTGCGGACATAGTACAGGAGATGACCAGAGACTGCGAACACAGTACAGGAGATGACCAGAGACTGTGGATATAGTACATTAGATAACCAGGGACTGCGGACATATACTACAGGAGATGACCAGAGACTGCGGACATAGTACAGGAGATGACCAGAGACTGCACACATAGTACAGGAGATGACCAGGGACTGCGGACATAGTACAGAGGAGATGACTAGAGACTGCGGACACAGTACAGGAGATGACCAGAGACTGCGGATATAGTACAGAAGATGACCAGAGACTGCGGACATAGTACAGGAGATGACCAGAGACTGCGAACACAGTACAGGAGATGACCAGAGACTGCGGATATAGTACAGGAGATAACCAGAGACTGCGGGACATACATACACAGGAGATGACCAGAGACTGCGGACATAGTACAGGAGATGACCAGAGACTGCGGACATACTACAGGAGATGACCAGAGACTGCGGACATACTACAGGAGATGACCAGAGACTGCGGACATACTACAGGAGATGACCAGAGACTGCGGAGATAGTACAGGAAATAACCAAAGGCTGCGGATGTACTACAGGAGATGACCAGAGACTGAGGACACAGTACAGGAGATGACCAGAGACTGCACATATAGTACAGGAGATGACCAGAGACTGCGGACATAGTACAGGAGATGACCAGAGACTGCGGACATAGTACAGGAGATGACCAGAAACTGCGGACATACTACAGGAGATGACCAGAGACTGCGGACATACTACAGGAGATGACCAGAGACTGCGGACACAGTACAGGCGATGACCAGAGACTGCGGACACAGTACAGGAGATGACCAGAGACTGCGGATATAGTACAGGAGATGACCAGAGACTGCGGATACAGTACAGGAGATAACCAGAGACTGCGGACATACTACAGGAGATGACCATAGACTGCACATATAGTATAGGAGATGACCAGAGACTGCGGACATACTACAGGAGATGACCAGAGACTGCAGACATACTACGTGAGATAACCAGAGACTGCAGACATACTACAGGAGATGACCAGAGACTGCGGACATACTACAGGAGATGACCAGAGACTGCAGACATAGTACAGGAAATAACCAAAGGCTGCGGATTTACTACAGGAGATGACCAGAGACTGCACATATAGTATAGGAGATGACCAGAGACTGCGGACACAGTACAGGAGATGACCAGAGACTGCACATATAGTACAGGATGACCAGAGACTGCGGACATAGTACAGGAGATGACCAGAGACTGCGGACACAGTACAGGCGATGCCCAGAGACTGTGGACATACTACAGGAGATGACCAGAGACTGCGGACATAGTACAGATGACCAGAGACTGCGGATATGCAGAGATGACCAGAGACTGAAGACCTTTGGGGAGCAGGTACCCGAATTTGATAGGTACCCGCTCCCACTTCTACTGCGATTGCCTAGGTGATCAGAAGCAGAAGGTGTCCTCCCTCCCTCCCCGTAGTCTTCTGGGACACGTGACAGGTCCCAGAAGGCTACGGGGCAATTCACAAAGCGCAGCGCTTCTCGTGCATGCACAGTGGGCACCCAGCATAGAAGCCGGAAGCTGTCACAGCCAGGTGCCTACACTAAAGATGCCGGCGCCACGCCAAGGAGAGAAGACAGCCGTTGAAACCAGTGGTGGTGAGGACACGGCTGGACCGAGGGACAGGTAAGTGGCTGTATTTTAAAAGTCAGCAGCTACAGTTTTTGTAGAGCTGCTGACTTTTTTTATATTTTTTTTTCAGCTGGAACTCCGCTCTAAGGGGCAGCTGCTTTGGGCCCTACCTGGCGCTACTGCACAGAAGAGCAAAGTGGCTGGCCCGGTATTCTAAACACGGCGGCGGTGACAGTGGAAAATACCAGGCCGGCTGCTCCATATTCGTTCCATAAGGGGAAGAAGTGAGTCTTATGGAGCGAAAAATATTGTATCCCTCATCGTTATTACCTTTTGTATCTCTTGACCCCCCCCCCCCCCCAGCTTGTAAGCTCTAACAAGCAGGGTCCTCTGATTCCTCCTGTATTGAATTATATTGCATCTGCGTTGTCTGCTCTTATGTTGTAAAGCGCTGCGTAAACTGTTGCCACTATGTAACTCCTGTATAATAATAATAATATTTGATATAAAATCAATAATCACCTTTTAGCGCTATATAAATACTGTCTAATAATAATAATTAATCACCCACTTTTTTTTTTATCCATCGCACTTGGCATTGAAAGTTTCCCTGTGATCGTACCCAACTATAACCCCCCTCCCACACCACCACCTTGGAGTTTCACTCACCCCACAGCATTGGTGGGATTCTCAGTCTTCCTGTCCTATTTATCATAATATCAATGCAAGAAGGAGAATAAGATAAAAATGCTAAAATAAATATATCTAATGCAGATATTGTGTTAATAACTTATACGAAAAGCAGTATAAAGCCAACGAGAAGCTTTGTGGCAGTTAATGTGCATATTCCTCCAAGGCACAAAAGGTTCCTCAGCTTCGACATAACGATTCCAGCATGTAAGAAAATCTGGAAAAAAGAAAAAAAAAATGGAGAACCATGAGAAAATAGTATTTGCATGTACTGGTTAAATTGTCCCCAAATCTGAGAGGTAGATTACTTCAAAGATATTGTAAATCACCCCTTTACAGCAGAATAGCCTGGACCAGCCTTTCTCCACTGGGGTGCCGCGGCACCCTGGGGTGCCACCAGAGGTCCTCAGCAGTGTCATGGCGTCCTGGTAGAGAAAGGCTGTCAGTTGAGCCCGACCTCCCAATCCCCAGCCGCACTGTACATCGGCAATGGGAGCCGTAAGACTGTTGAGCAAAGTGAAAGCAAAGGGAGGAGTATCTTCTGTGCTCTCTGCCTCCCCTTCTGTGTGTGTATATACAGTATGTGTAATTGTACATGTGTGTACATGTGTCTGTGTGTGTACATGTGTGTGTGTGTATATACAGTATGTGTGATTGTACATGTGTGTACATGTGTCTGTGTGTGTACATGTGTGTGTGTGTATATACAGTATGTGTGATTGTACATGTGTGTGTACATGTGTCTGTATGTGTGATTGTACATGTGTGTGTACGTGTGTGTGTGTGTGTGTCTGTGTGTGTATATGCAGTATGTGTGATTGTACATGTGTGTGTATGTACGCGTGTTTGTATGCATGTATGTACATGTGTTTGTATATGTGTGTTTTAATGTGTGTGTTTGTTTTTATTTGTGTGTGTATTTATGATACTTTTAATCTTGACCCCCTATTCCTGTCCTTTCAGAACTGCTTTTTAGGACTTGTTCATAATAGCAGCAAGGACTGCTGCTCCTCTGAAAAGCAATTCATGCTCAAATCGCTTTTCAGAGGCATTTGACAGGCGGTAAAGAGGCAATATGTTGCCTCCTCACCACCTGGTTTAACGCCTTAAAAAGCAGCATCACCACATCACAATGGCATGCAATGAGCCCACAGTTGCGGGGTGGTTGTAGTTCAACCCCATTCATCTGGAGGTATACTTCCAGCTGTGGCCACAGCATGTGTATTCTCCCAGCTGCTGCTTCTGAAGCTAAAGGGGGAGCAGTTGAGGGTGGTAAAAGCAATTCAATTGCGTCGTTTTACCGCCCTCCAACCTCACGGGTGAACAAGCCCTTGGTTCACATCTGTGTGACTGTGTGTAGGGCAGCCTATTCATTTCAATAGGCTGCCCTACCCACAGAAATGTGGGGAAAGTCGTCCCTGACCCTTTTTTAAAATTGAACCACACCAAAAACACCCCGAGTTTCCCAATGCATGGGGGTACCCCTAAAGATTGTAAGCTCCAAGGAGCAGGGCCCTCCTTTCCCTCTTGTATTGAACTGTATTGTAGCTGTATTGTCTCCCGTTATATTGTAAAGCGCTGAGCAAACTGTTGGCGCTATATAAATCCTGTATAATAAATAATAATAATAAAGAGCAGAGCATTTGTCTGTGTGTCAGGAATGAGCTCGATTTTGCGTGCGTTCCACCACACACAGTAATGTGAACCAAGCCTTGGACAGGGGCGCCTCGTGACTAAAAATACTTTTCAAGGGTGTCCTGACTAGAAAAATGTTGAGAAACACTTATCTGGACTGCCTTTCCTCTTAAAGCCTAGTGAAAGTCTCACACTTTTTTTTATCTTGTTATAGCCCTAACCCCCACGTTATGTTTTGTGATTTTTTCCCTTAGACATTTATTAAAATACCTTGTTCTGTAAAAATGCTGCTTCCTATCCTCACACTGCAGTGCTCTGTACCAGCATAGCTGAGAAACAGCCACACCTTTCACCTCCAGCACCCTCCCATTCTGTAGCACTGTGTTGCAACAACATATAGAGGCGTGTTTAACAAGTTCTGTTACTAAGTGCTGATTACTGAGAACAATAATCTACCTCTGGTATTAATTAGGTGAGAAAGAGATCATTTTAATTGTTGATAAAATAAATTCGTAAAAAATACAGCCAACCCGTTTCTGAGGCAACACCCCAGCCCCTTTATCAGAACTCAAAACAGAATAAAACTTAGATGGACAGAAAACAGTGACTTCACAGATCTATATTAAAAGCAATACTGAATTCTCTTCATGGAGGAACAACCCAACAGCAGTTACTGAGCAGCAATGGAGGCTCCAGGTAAGTCTGCCTCTATCCTTTCCACTCTGCAGTGTTAACTCTGGCATTGTTTTCGGAAATGTGATAGGACTACCCCAACCAAGTTATACACATTTGTGGAGAGGGGAGGTGTTCTGTAGTCTGAACACATTTTCTGTCCTAGGGTAATAATGGTGCCCCTCTATAGGTACAGTAGAGTGGTATTGGAAGTGTGTTTCTGCCAAGACCACTAGGTAAAAATAAAGAAAAGAAATGCATCCACCATGTCTAAGGTCAGATAGGCCGTGATATCTTAAATTATTGTTCTTGGGTTTAGAAAAACTTTAAAGCGATACTAAACATTCTCTTTTTTTTTTAATAACAAACATGTCTATACTTACCTGCTCTATGTAGTGGTTTTGCACAGAGCAATCTGGATTCTCCTCTTCTCAGGTCCCACACAGGCTCTCCTGGCTCCTCCTTTCTGTCGGGTGCCCCCATAGCAACCCTTTGCTACAGTATATGTGTCCTTTCACACACAGAACTGTAGTTTGGCCCGTCCCCTCCTCTTTGGCTACCATTGGCTCCCGCTTCTGTCAATCACAACCAGTCAGCCAAAGAGGAGACAGAGACTCAGGACAGCCGAGGCTGTTATTCACGTTGCTGGATCTGGATGGGGCTCAGGTAAGTATTGAGGGGGCTGGGGGCACTGCTGCACACAGAAGGTTTTTTACCTTCCTGCATAGAAACTTTGAGCCTTTACAACCACTTTAATGACAACATTCTTCTTATTTTTGTATAGGGTTAAAATTTCTTTTGAGTTTTTATTTCTGTTTGTGTCCCCATTGGGTTGGTTACCCCCCATTTCTTGTCTATTTTTCAGTTGTCAGACAGAACAGCGAGGGGAAGGTCTGCTGAAAGTGGAACTTCACTGTTTCAGTCAACACTGAATATCCTTATGCTGCTAGCATTAGTAAATAGATAGGAATGTATATTATATTTACTTGTTCTAATTATTATTTTTTTTTTTTACATTTCTTTAGTTACTTCCTGGTTTCCATGCCTAGGCAAAAGATGTCATACATCCCAGGAGTTTTCAGGAGGGGAGGAGGGGTTTTCCCAGTTAGGTACACCCTCCTGCCTGCATACCTGAGCTAAGGGCAGATTGATTTCAGGAAGTAAATGCTACATGAATCATCTACTCAAGATGGCCATGGCCAGAAATGCCAAGGGGATGTTTTTCTAAGTGATTTCTCAGCAAAATAAAGCATGGGGACAAAATTAAAAGATAAGTTGCCCTTTTAACAAAAAAATAATAAATGCACATTTTTTTTTCAGGTAAAAAAATGTGCATTTATTATTTCTTGTTTCTGGAGCTTATAAAGCATTGCACCAGCAAACAGCAGATCTCTGGTGCCATGCAGGTCTCCCTCTGACCTGTCAGTATATCTGCATGCTGGTACATCCCATATGGGCAAGCAGATACTTACCGACAGGAAGTCTCAATGAACTACCATGGCGCTCCACAGGGCCATGGTAGTTCATTGACAACTACAAGCTGACAGTCACAAAGGCTTTCAGAACTTGTAGTTCTCTCATTCACAGAACACTGGAGCCTTGCACTGCCTCGCTTTTTTTAAAATTGTGACAGCTAGAAGGGAAGAGAAGATCCCCCGATAGCTGTCACAACAGGGATCGGGGGTGTGGGGGCTGGTCCGTTTGTTACATCTGGAATATGGGTGTAACATGTAACATATTACGAAAGGTGAACTTGTAGTTCCACTTTAGTGACACCAACGTATTTTAGGGGTTCAACATTCAGTTCCAGATTTTCAAAATGGCA